TCCGTGCTATATAAAAATATGAGTTTCCAAATATAATATTAGGAAGATTTATGTATTTCATGGAAGTAACATAAGTATCAGTGTGAAAATACGTAGAAGTCACTTTATATGTATTTTGCTTATCATGCCATTGAGAAATTAAAGGAATTTTATTTTTTTTACTAATAATCCGAAAGAAAATATCGTTGGATTAATTCATATATTAAAAAGGAAATATATGATACCCTCATTATAAAAAAAAACCACTGTTATGTTTTAATGTTTGATCTCCATACTGAAAGTTGGTATTTGTATCAGGCTATAAACAGTTTGCGTGGAAAAGAATGATTGAATGAAATATGCTTTATTGTACACCAATACAAGATAAAAGAAATAAATGCAAGTACTTATATTACACAATGGGCGGCCTTATTACTAAAAAGTTATTTTACCAGGCAACCATTAACAACGAAAAAAGAAACAATGTTGATGAAATTAAGTGTTCTTATTTGACGATTATCTTAGGGTTGCCGAATAAAGTAGACTATTTAAATGTGTAAGAACAGCAAGGAATATTTAATACTATCTAGTGACGAGTCCGTCCCTGTACAACCCGTTTAATGTCAGAATAAGCCAGCCAAATGGCACCCGGTGATGAGACCGAAGCACGTAAAGTTTATCCGTGAGACGGTTACCCGGGTGTGGACGCATAGAAATTCTACTTGTGTTATACTCCTTTATAGCAAAGATAAATGTGTTAGCAGAAATTTGAGCCGGTAAAATAATAATGCCGTCTTAAAATTGTACTCGTACGTATCTCGTTTTAAGGCGGGCGAAGAAAATGAATGTTCATTTAGTTCAAGCAATATATATAAATGCCGTTGAGTTTTGTTTTGGACATTTATTTATCTAAATAGTGCTGACTATAACTATTAAACGCTTCGAATGAAGATGTTCACATAATTTTGATAGAACTTGACTTGGTAATTTCGTTTGATCATCAATTCTCGTAACCTCATATGGGTGTCGTAATTCAACGAAATAAGTTTCAAGAACAAATGGAACGTATGTTTTTTTTATTGGACAGCAAATAGAGTCGACATTATAATACTAGTGACATGGAGAGAAAAGAGTTTGCATTCTGACCCCACTTTCGCCTCATGTTCGGCAAATGAGAGAATATGCTGCGACTGATGATGTTAACAACGATATACTCACCCTTGAGTCTTTACTCAATGGTGAGTATCGACTCAACGATAAGACATAACAGAATATGTACATGATAAGACTGCTAACGAAGACGTGAATTATTAATTGATTTAATACAATAATTTTGAAATCATTGTTTGAAATTTTTGAAAATAAAAAAGTATAATATTCATGTTGTTACACCGGTATAAATACCGAGCAAATGTCCGCTATTCCCTCTACGACAGGACGTAATTAGAGCCGAGGTCTGTGCCTCTAAAGGCAGCCTCTAGCTATGTATCTTAGTTTCGTAACTAAGATACGTAGCTAGAGGCTGCCTTTAGCTGAGCTCTGGTGTCTCAACGGCGGTCTGGGGACATCTCCCGGTATGATGCCGTCTTCCGTGACACCCATCAGATTTGTTTTTCTCGGCTTGAGGTCTCTTAAGGATCTCGCCTCCCATAAAAGCCCGGTTACGCTATAAAGGTCATCTGCGATGAACAGGAACTACACATTAGAAAGAGCAGTCACCAGGACGGCGAAAGCTCATGGGTTCGAGTACCATCTCGGAATGCCAGGGATAAAGTGGATTTTTTAAGCATTTTTCAGTAAAAATATTTTTAGTATATCATTTTGAATGCAAAATCGATCAAATATTATAATTTATCCAAATTTATCCAAAGATAAAAATGTTGTTATAACGGAGACGTATTTCTTTGTAGATTAACAAAATACTCTTGTTGCTATAAGGTAGATATTTATCCTATTAATCTCTCGCATCAAGGGATTAGCCGACAGATATTCGAAACGACTAGATAATCTTCTTGCTGAAAGAGAGAAAGCTGTATAATATTTATATTACCAACCAAACTCTAAATAGCTGTGTACCAACCAATATTAAAACTAATTTCGAAAAGGTTCGCTTCGATTTAGGCACTTCAATGTAGTTTTCTTCACATGTACTTATATGGAGCGTGATTCTGTTTACAAGATTGACGGCAGCGATTATTGGCATTTGGATATGCCATTCCCATGCTTTTGCAGGAATAAAGATGGATGCGAAAGTATTTTAAGTTAGGAATTATGAAAAATAAACTCTAACTCTCTCGTTAATAGTTCCAAGGATATTATTATAGTTATAATAACCATTAGTGATCTTATCAAACTATTTCATATCTTGTTTCACAATTTCTAGCTAGTTTATTGTTTTACAATTATGAAGATAAAATATACTATTTGTTACTAACTCTATGTAGTTAGGTTATTTACAATTTTGCTACAAGATAAATTAGCTTGGTGGCATTAAAACTATTTACATTATAAAGAGTTTTATGTGTACACATATTTTAATAATATATAATCTAGGTATACTTTTTGATAGTCGCTATTTTGTAGGTATTTTTATAAATATCGTATTGTTATCATTATCCTATTAATATTATAAATGTGAAATGTTTGGATGTTTGTCGGTCAATCTCGCTGAAACTAATGAACGGATTTTGATGAAATTTGGTATACAGATAGGGTATTAGCTGACTTAGATAATAGGATACTTTTTTATCTCACTAAACATTTCCCTAGGGACCACGCGGGCGAAGCCGTTGGCAAAAGGTAGTTTTTTATAAATGCAGAAATTCAAAGTACTCAAAGTCCTAAATGATATAATCTATTTCCTTTACTTCTTCGTTCTTCGAGCAATATCTTTGTAGAAACAAATTACATTCGTTTTATTTGACACTTATTTATATGAACTTAAACCAATGAACCCTTACATGGTTATATTGTTTCATCCTTGGTATATTACTTACCCTTTTGCGGTACGATCGTGACCGTATTTATGATGATATGACTTCTTGTATGTGTCTTGAATAAAAAATACGAGTAAGTGTGTACATTGTGTTTATTTCTTACTACATCTTTTCCCGCAATTAGAATAGACTAGCCGTTGAAAGCGTCTTGTTAAAAGAAAATATTTAACAGGTTATTTTTTGCTATAAAACCTTTCTAACCTCCCAAATAAATATTATAAAAAGGAAAGATTTGATTGTTTGCAAGGAACAGGTACAAGAAACTAAATTACTGATTTAAAAAAAACATCACCTACGGGGAGCTACATCATATGCGGTGAACATGAGCTTTATTTTATCCCGAAAAACGGCAAATAAAGGGATGTAATTGGGAGTGGAAGTTTGTATAGGGAATTAAAAGTTACCGTAGTAACCATTGTTTACTATTCAATTTGTCAACAGTTCAATTTTAAATTACGGAACTGATTTCTAAAATATTTCACCTACAGAAAGTTACACCATATCCGGATGTAGCCAATAATTTGAAAAAACAGCTCGTAATTAAAAAATACATCCGATCATTTTTAATGTGAAAGAATTACCTAAATATATGTAATGATAGTAAAATGGTACATCTGTTCGTATTTTGTATTTTAGTAAAGCGCTGAGGTCACTGTGGCTGAGGATTGATCGGGGTCTGAATTGTTATCTGAAAGTATAAATTGGCTGCATCATGCCTCCAGACCATTAGCGGAGGCTTCGCGTGCAGAATACTTATTTGTATCGCAAATGGAAATGCAAGATTCTGTAATATAAATAGTTAAAGTGCTACTTATAAACAAGGTTTGGCGTTGGAGTAAATTTACGCTGAGTCTCTTCGTATAAGTTAAAATTCATATTATTAAACAGATACTTAACAAAGTTTAACCTAGTACGAGGTTCTACGGGAGTAATATTTGCTCCTAGAAGGTAGTATAGTAGATTTGCTTATTCTCTGTGTAATAAATATGGACTAATACTAAAATTGCATTTTTCAGCGTAAATTTACTTTGACGCTAAACCTTGTTTATAAGTAGCACTGTTAGTGTTCAAATTTAATGTATATAAATCTTTAAGAATATTTTATACAGCGATGATGATTGCTTAAAAAAGCCGGTCAAGTGCAAGTGGGAATCGCACACGAAGGGTCCCGTGTGATAGTTTTCTTATAAACTTCATTATACTTATATAGGTACTACTACCGTAACATTTGAATTTTCATCAACCACTGTTTAGTTAGTAGAGGGGGGGGGGGGGAATCTAACGAAAATGGGCTCTTTAAAGCTGTTTTTGAAAAACCTATCCAACGATGCTCCACATTATGGGGAAGATGAAAAAAATAATAAACGGACAGACGGTCATGGCGAAACTATAAGGGTTCTTTGTTAAGGAACTAAATATGGAAAGATTTTGTATGCTTCAGGTTGAGAAGAAGAAATAACTTATATATATATATATATATATATAAATAGGAATAAAAGTTGAGGAGTGGGCACTCCTTACGTTGCAATTTTATGGAAAATCTAAATAGGTGTGATGTCACGTGTTTTCAACATAATGTATCGCTGTACTTTATTGGTTTTGCAAAAAAATAAAAGAAATAAGTGCTTAATATTTTCAATAATCTCAATCTGTATACAAAAAAAAAATGCTTGGTCACTATTTGAATAATAAAATTTCTCAAATAGGGTAACATATCTAACCAAATAGAGCTATCTGAAACCTTAGCAAAACTGTTGAAATTACAAAAGGTAAAATTTCTGCAGTCAATTTTGAACTTTACCGTGAAAAGATAAGGTTTTAAGTCAATTTCTGTAGAAAGCCGCTTTATTTATGCAACACATAAGACTAGTAATAACTTTTTATCCCATTAAAACTTTGGGACCTTGCCTATCCTGGACTTAATTAGCTATAAATACGTAATTATCAATAAAATTTCAGTGCTAAAGTTTTAATTGACTAGAGAATACTTTTTTCTGCAACATCAATATTCTTATTTTTCTTCAGGTACCTCGGCATCCGGAATCCATTGAAGAGTCGTCATCATTCCACAAAGAGGGTTGTGGTCATAAAAATAGCTCTGGTATGGCTCCTCAGCATGTTTGTGTCAAGTTCTATAACAGTTTTAGGTGAGTTGTTATTCAATATATTTACATTATAAACAGAAAAAAAATATTTGCATTCAATATCTTCGAAAAAATTTTACCTGACGAAAGTTACTTCATATTTAGGTGATATAAGTTATAATTTACATAGGCGAAGTCGTGGGAAAATAGCTAGTTTGTTGTAAACCAGTAAACAGCATATTTACCAACCAATAGAAAAAACAATAAATAAAACTGTCATCTTTTATGATCAGGTTCATTTATGATTTTCTTTGTTATAAACGATTCTCTTATTTGTCGCCTTTGTAGACGTCTCGTTCGGATTCTCGAATCCATTATTTACCTTTGATTTAGATTCAAGTGTTTTCGATGGCGAACTTATATAATTATATCGCTCCGGCAATCTTGTTTAATTGGAGCTGCTTGAAATTCAGTTACGTTTGTTGTTATCGAAAAATGGAATATTGTTTTCATTTACTGAACGAGTTACCGGGTTCTGACTTAGAAGGCGACAATTTTAAAGTACTAATAAGATAGGCTGATCTCTCAACTGTCGATTTACGAAAATTGTTTAGACCAACTGAACTAATGACTGGACTTGAATTTTTCCTCTATTTTGAAACCATCAATGAGGTGCTAATTTCCAGGTCGGGTCAACATGCAAAATTCACTTTTCTATGTTGTCTCTGGTACCTCAATTTTTTCAGACACTCCATAATACGATTGCGTAGGTTACGATCTTGGAGGATGCAAAAATATTATTTTTCCTGCTGAATACACGGTTGACTGGTAGATAATATCTTTGTCGTCGTCTTAAGTCCGTCTTTTGTGTTATATTTTATGTAATAAAGGATAAATAAATAATCTGAGCAATGTTGAAATGAAAATGTTGTCTTATATAATGACCAGTGGTCGGAATTAGGTAGAGTTATTCATGTACTTACACTGATTTCATACAGCGAAAGAATAAAGTGGATATGCCTCAAAACCCGAGATTAATTTTAAAAGATCAGAAAAAACCCCGTGATTTTTAAAAGTTATTTACTTTTACACAATTTAAACTACTGCACGCACGACGTTGCCAAACTTACATCAATGAAAGAAAGAAATAAAGAAATCCCGGGAAGGTCTACATTAATATCAATATTTCGATGCAAGTACATAAATAACTCTACCTAATTCCGACCTCTGATAATGACTTTAATTCTGATAACCGTTTCAAAATCCGTTTAGTAATTTCAGAAAGTCTGTAAGAGTGTAATGGTGGGTGATATCATTTTGTTCGTTCTTATTATAAGTCACAATTATATTTAAATAAAGACAATCTTGACTTAGAGTTTGAGTTTATTGCAAAAAAAATAAGAAAGATAAAAAATAATAGTCAATTTATAGAGACAATTAAACAATATTTAACATTAATAAACAATTATGGAATGAGGTAAAAGAACCTGAAGGAAATTCAAAATATTTTTAATTCCTACAGCTTATTTATGATGCAAAACAAATTTAATCTGTTTTAGAGGAGATTCTGTAGAGAGCTTGCCGTCAAATGGAGTAGCCTGGAAATTTACACTTAAGTGGCGGTGAAAATTATTTCAAAATGAAATAAGCCCGAGGCGGTTCATTAAAATAACGCTTATTGAAGAGCTCGGCTCTTAGGTGGTGTTGTGTTAAAGTCAGTGTCTCTATCGCACTGGGCTTTGTATATATTGTTATAAGCTTTTATTTAAGAGGCCTATTAGAAATACAATAAATCTCGTTACACGGGCGAATTTAATTTTATCAATTAGTTTTTGAATTATTTAGGATGACGTGTATTTCTCCAGATATGTGAACTACGGGTACATTATTTTGAATAGCAGAGCACCTAGGTGTACCAGGGGCACAGAAAGTTTACCATGGAACACCTAGGTGAAGCACTTTCGTGTTCCACAGTTCAGAAAGGAACAATTTGAATTTGGACAGCACCACATTTGTAATAATTTTGCAGTTATATAAATTAGTGCTTAAAATTATGCAATATTTATTTTTCATGAAGTAATAGTTAATCTGTTACAAATTTTTTGGTTTTTTGGTTCTGACTAAGATTTTTTCTTATTTATCGTATAATCAATGATATTTAAAATTTTCGAAGTTGCTTTAAATTATACGTCTCTATAAGAGATATTATTCTATTTTTATTTATTTCGTTGGTTTAGATCAGTATCTCAACGTAGGAGCTCAATAGAACTGCCGTCACGCATTTCATGAAAATATTTCTCTGCCATTTTAGGTTTGATTAAAAAGTTAAGCACTATTTACTAAAAGTGAAGCCTCTACGAACTGTGAATATATATTCTGTGCTATTCAATAACTCAAAATTTTAATACATTTTTATTTTGAGATCAAGAACGCTAACTTTGACCACTATCATCGCTAAAAAACAGTGGAGTGGATGTAATAGGGCTTTTAATTTGCCGTTAAAATTAGTGTGTGGGTTTAATCTTGCAAACCAAATTTGACCTACTTTCCGATTTTGGAAGGTAGCTATGGAATCTCTGTCAAAACAGCGTGTAGAATTTTTTGCTACTTTAAAAGTTCCAAAAAAGTCAGACTATGTTTCTAACATAAGTATATACAAGCTACGCTTGTGATCTATCAATTGAAGCTACATTTCTAAAACAAGGACACCAGTTTACACCATAAAATATTGGATTCGGTAATATATTCCAAAAATCTACTACAAATACAGTAGATTAAAAAACAATTGAAAATTTATGATTTTATATAATCTAGTAAGCTGTTGACTGTACATACATAAAGACTTATAAATCCGAAATTTTATCCCATGTGACTATGACATCGTTGTTATATGAGTTATGAGGAGATTTTAAGTGACAAACGGTTTTACAGAGATTTGCATATGACAACATTATTAAAAGGGTTGTATACAAAGCATTAAGTTGACTTGACAGGAAGAAATCAGGGGGTATATTCGTAAATTTAAATATGACAAAATCGCTTCGATACAATAAAATTTGTCTTATGGGTAATTGGGAACACTTTTTATGTTTTTCTTATTAGTAATGGGCTCACTCTTCACCTCAATCCCGCCCAAGGACATGAAAGAGATCTACGGTGAGCTTGCTTACCTTTTTTTTCGAAATTAGCTACAAATAAAATATTAAGAAAAAACGCTGTCATTTCCTTTTGCTCATGTCAGGGTGGGGTAATTGGAAACGACATGATTAAATAGTAATCATTATTTGTTTTTGCACAAAGCACATCTAACATTTAGCATATAGTTAGTGACAGCTTTATCCATAGTGCTCGCTGATGCATATTAATCGTCATACTTCAGCTTAATTTTCTTTCGTAACTTCAAGGCATTTAAATCGAATATCTTATGCAAGAATGTTTTTACAGGATTATCCCTTTAATATGGGATAATTATAAACGTTTCCATTTCCCACTTATCTAACGGTCCTCTTTACCAGAAGTGGCCAGTTTAAATAAAAGGGTCCCTTCCCAAAACAAAATATTAGTTAAAACTATCTTATAAATATTAGACAATATCACGTACAATGTTCAGATTCCAAGATGCGTAGCTAAAGTACCCGTATTATGGAGTATCTGAGATAACGAAGGAACCACAACACCTAGTCCCGAGACAATATGGTAAAGTTAATTTTCTACATTGTCCCGACCGGGAATCGCCCTGGTTCGATTCCCTTAAAAATGGTGACACCTTGAGACCGGCGTGTAAATTACTTGGCTACGGAGATCGTCGACTATGTGAAATCTATTGGCAAATGCCACATGAAACCTGCAGGCCAATTCTGCATCTCAACGATTTGCATTTACCATTGTATTTTCTACCTTAAGTCTAATATTAGGTCTTTACCTATGAAATTGCTGTTTTTCACGAAATAAACGAAGCATATTTTTTTCTGTTTTTATTTCTATTAATAAAAGTAATCAAATAAAAATAAACCCATGCAATTAATGCATCTTAGCCAACGCATTGGTAGCTTATTGCTGTCCTTCTTGAAGAAATCAACTAGACGGCAGGCAACAAATTTTTCAAAGGCATTTTGTACTGCCTCTCGGGTATTGCATTTTATGAACGTATCGTAAAGTCCAGTATAATATTGGAATTCATGTAGATTGTACAATGGCAAAATGCAAGTAGTTCAGATTCTATCGAGATGAGATTACGTATACACTAGTAGAGTTACTTGTCAAAATGGAATAAATGATATCAATCATCAATCAATACGTTCATAGCAAAACATTATATTTGTGTCGTGTTGGTTATCCTATTTAAACTTGGAGGACGTGGTAGCGGAGTCGGGCTCAGATATTGCAGATTTATTTGCTAGTCATTTTTCCTCGGTATATAGCCCTAGTGATCCCAGTCGTGTAGTTGAGCCCCTTATCTATGGTAACAATTATATAGCTAAGTTACGAGTAACCGAATCTGAGGTCATCAAAAAAATTAAGTCGCTCGATGCAAACAAAGGGGCTGGACCTGATGCTGTTCCTCCGTTACTTGTCAGACGTTGTTGCCCAGGTATTACATTACCTATGACATTAATTTTCAATAGATCACTTGAAGATGGTGTTTTTCCTGATGAATGGAAGAAAGCTCAAATAGTTCCTGTATTTAAGAAAGGGGACACTGCCTCAGTCAAGAACTATCGACCGATTTCATTGCTCTCGTGTTTTGCCAAACTCTTTGAAACTCTCATATGTCCTATCATTTCTAATTTTAACAAAAATTATATTTCTGACCATCAACATGGATTTATGCCTGGTCGTTCTGTTGTGACAAACTTAGTCTCGTTTGTTACGGATCTATCTCAAGAAATTGACAGGGGACTAGAAGTTGATGCATTATACACTGACTTCACCAGTGCTTTTGACAAAGTTAACCACACTATTCTCATTAATAAGCTTAGTAATTATGGAGTAGGTGGGTCAATTTTGAAGTGGTTTGAGTCGTATTTACGAAAAAGACCACAAAGAGTTGTAATCAATGGCTTCCAATCCAGCTGGTACATCGCAGAATCGGGCGTTCCTCAGGGCTCACACTTAGGCCCATTACTCTTTCTGATATTCATTGATGATATTGCTGTGAAAATCAAGAACTGCAAATACTTATTATATGCCGATGATCTTAAAATCTATAAAACTGTATCATCTCATGACGATAATAGACTCATCCAGGATGACCTCAACGGAATTGTTGACTGGTGTCACGATAACAATATGACACTCAATGCAAACAAATGTTCCCATATCAGGTACTCCAGAAAAAGAAGACAGCTTACTACTGCTTACGAGCTTGGCGGCGTGAAACTAAAGGAAGTCGAGGTGATTCGAGATCTTGGTGTCAATATCGACAGTAAACTGAAGTTCGACATACATTTGGATGTAATGGTTTCTGGTGCTGCTAAAATGCTTGGGTTTATTAAGCGTAATACCAAGGGGTTTAGGAACGTAAGTACTAAGATTCTGTTGTACAATGCGTTGGTACGCAGCCATCTCGAATTTGCATCGTCTGTCTGGAGCCCTTTTTATAGTGTTCACTCGCAAAGAATTGAGAGCATTCAGAGAGCATTTACTAGACATCTTGCCTTTTTTCGCAGTGGATTCTCTCATCGACAACCTTATAAAGAACGGCTAGTTGAATTTAAGATGACTAGTCTCAGCGATCGAAGATGTTTGTTAGACATGAGTTTCTTACATAAACTTATTAATGGGCATATTAAATCTAATGAGTTAGTATCACGTTTGTCTTTGACGGTGCCTGTGAGATATCCCAGACACCATATAAGCAAAACTTTTGCTAGACCGTTTACCAGAACCAATGTTGGTCTACAGTCTCCTTTGGTGCGAATTTGTGGCGAGTATAATGATCTTTGCAATAATATATTGGATTTGGATGTGTTTCACAATAGCTTGCATACTTTTAAAATGAAAATTTTAGAAAATTTTGGTTAAATTTTTCTATCTTTATCTATAAAGTAAAGTAACAGAGTAGCGCTTTCTCGATATTTTAATAGGTACGGTGAATGTTATGTACGCCGTTAATTTGATGCATATCAGAATTGTTTTCTTTTAGTTAATATTCTTAACCTTAATTGTTTTAATATATATCATGTGGCTGTACTGTGCAAATAAATAAATAAATAAATAAATAAATAAATAAATAAATAAATTATCAATACACATAAATACAGCGTAGCTCGAGGGCGTAGTGGATTAGCGCCGCGGCCCGCGATCATAGTCGTTAAGTAACATTCGCAAGGGTCGGTCACGGGATGGGTGACCAAAAAAATATTATCTCGAGCTACTCCGTGCTTCGGAAGGCACGTTAAGCCGTTGGTCCCGGCTGCATTTGCAGTCGTTAATACCCTCCAATCCGCATTGGGCCAGCGTGGAGGGTCATGGCCCATACTCCTTAACCATCCATAAGGAAAGCCTGAGCCCCTGCAGTGGGGACGTAAAAGGGCTGATGATGATCTATACATACAAACGACAAAAATATTTTAAAAAGTTTAAAATATATTGTCCAACTTAATGTGATAACATGCGCGCAGCTCCTCATTTAGTTTTTAATAGTATTAATTTATCCGTTTGCTGACGCCTATTTAATGTTTAGTGTATGAGGAGAAGTATCTGATGTAACTGTTCACAATTACCCTACTTTCCCTTATGTCTTTTAGACCCTCCCGGGAACCAGACTACAGATAACTGATCCCAAACTTGGAGACTCAACGTCAGATTCGACATTAAAGGCCTTTCAGCGGTCATATTTACTGAGTAAATGTTAAATTACATTAATATTTCAAGTAAACAATTGTTATTGTGAATTAGAATGTTCTACACCAAAAGGTTCTAGACAGACATTTTGTTGATGCTTGTTATTAAATAACAATATTATGAAGAAATTATTTGCTGCTGTAGAGATTGTTTTGAACTTTAAAGTGTTGACATTAAAGAGACAATGGTATTTTTTAGTGTTCAGTAAAAATATATTAGAGACTCAGTCTTATATATCTATGCAGATGAAGCACACTATTTTTTTTTCTTTAATTCAATTATTCTAGAAACTTTTATTGAAGTCGGGCGGAGGTTTTCTGTAGATTCTTCAATAGAAGTTTCTAGAATAATTGAATAGCTATTAATGTAAGCATAATTTTTCACTTACTGAAATTTAAAATCGGTTCTCATTTTTGAAAATAATCATCAATTTCTTTACTGCTTATATGATCATCCTAAGAATCACTCCTTTTAAAGACGGTAAATACTAAAACTGCCTCCTAAGTGTAATAAATATTTTTCACAAAACCAAACGAGAGATAATCGCGAAAAAACTTAAATTCATACATACCTACAAAAAAAGTCAAACTGACAACCTCCTATGCTTGCCACCAGGTCTTATCAACAAAACGAATATCATGCCAACTCCGGAGCTGTGCGTGATCAACAATAGACTGTTCTGGATCTTTGGGTCGCTGGTGGCGTTCTACATTCCTATGCTGACGATGGTGGTCTCTTTCGCACTAACAGTTCAGCTTTTGAAGAGGCAGGCGAGATTGGCGGCGACGCCTGTACCTGGCGGTACGCAAAGAAGGTCAGTTTTTAATTTTTTATTGAGCTATTTAAATCTGCAAAGGCTGTAAACGGTTCTTTAAACTCTCTGTCCCATTCTATAACATTAAGGCTGGATTGCATCACAAGAGCAAGTTAAAGCTAAGGTTTTTACTCGTATCAAATTTCATAAAAATAGTCAAGTTGATTTTAACATTGACTGTTGAATGAATTAATTGAATGCGTTGCACCATCCTCTTTCTTTGCATATCAAAATAATAACTTTAATCAGCGAAGATTGGGCGGTTATAGTTAACAGCTTAAGTTATGATATCCTCTGCCAAATGCCAAATGATGCAACTCATTATTTGATTAATATATACTTTAATATATTGTGTGCAACCAGCACTAAGGGTCGATTACACCCATTTACTTTTATATTAATAAAAATTTTAAAGTATAGGTTAATCAAATAATGTGTTGCGCCATTTGGCAATGGTTAGATGACGTCATAACTGTTAATTATAACCACCAAAGCTTCGCTGGCTACAGTTATTGTTTTACACACTGATGACACTCTGCCGACATAATTTTTCATCTCCTGTTACGGTGCTTGAGAATTTGTGCGGAGAATCAAAGAAATAACAGGAGAATCGTGACCGAATCAATGAGTCATGATGACAGAAATCATCAGTACGCTCGAAACCTAATATTAATTCACTAAAGAACTATTCTTATCCTACTCGCATAAATATGCTTTATTTACTTGATTTTAAGATTATTATTATATACTTAAAAAGGTGGCTAATGATTTGATGGGTTCATTTTCATTGTATGCAGTAGTTAAGAAAATGTTTTTTTTTGTTCTCTAATTACCTACTATTTTGAAAATATATAAACTTATTAAAAAAAAAATTCAATGTGCTTTTGTTTACTTCGATGTCACGAAAATGTCATCAATTATTTGGTTATTTGGCAGATTCTTTTACAGATATTTGGTATTTATGAAACAAGACTGCTGATCACATTTCGATAAAATATGGGACCTAGTACTATCATAGCCATCATGCTTTCGTAAAAGAATCGGTATCGGTAAATAATCAAAATCGGTTCACAAACGACATAGATTTATCAGAAAATGTAGACATCGAAAATTACCTTCTTTTTTAACCGATAAAAAGCGAGGAGCATTTAATTAGTTACCGATCTCTTTCTGATTGGATTGTTAATTGTGTATTCGAAATTCTACATAATGCAATCATATTAAAACTGTTTCACAATGAAAACAGCTTAATATTTTTAATAGTTTTGCATAATTTGATTTCAGATACATTGGTTTTGCATAGTCATATTTTATATCACTAACCTATTCACGCTGGGACTCCTGGGGTACAGTCCTTCAATTTGAATGCAATCGGATAGAGAGAATAGGCTTTGGCTGACCTCGCGGGCTCTGTGCGGATTGATGGGATTGCCGTGACGTAGTTGTGATTGATTATTTCGAGTTTATCCATGTTTCGGAAGGCATATTGAGTCGTAGAAATCGTTAACACCCACCATACCCTACTAAACCCGCGCGCGTGGTCTATGGCCTGTTCTTAATTTGATTTTAATTTGAGTTATAGAGAAGGCCTGCCCTCTAGCTGTGCGATATTTATAAGCTGATGATAATGAAAGAAATAAAGTTAGTATTTATTTAATAAGCTTATTTGTCATAATATCATTAACTCCCTTATTTATGTACTATACTATAATGTAATGTTAACAATAAATAATTATATATCTATCAATACATTTATTTTGTTAAAACATTATAATGTTATTCATTGAGAAACTCCTTTAGTTAAACTAAGCGTAGCTACGCAAAAAATATACACAACAAGTAAAAAAAAAGTATGTTGACAGTTCAGTTTTTTCGAAAAAATTTTGAGCGTATTTTATTGAGTTATGAAAAAATATTTTTATGTCAGCTAATTGCCTACTACTACATTTTTGTCTGTAGGACCTATACATCGGCAGATATTGCAAACTAAATAATCTCACCCGTACTCCGAGAAAAAATAATTGAAAATGCCTAATTATGTTGGATTTATTTATAAGTTTTGTTAGGAATAATACGAAGAACTCAAATATTTATTATTAGTTTTTCATGAATATAGTAAGAAACTCAATATTTTTCAAGATTTTATGTAACATGTACAATATACATTTGGATTATTGGATTGCGTTATTTTTGTTAACACAAAAAATGCGGTCCACTGAATTTAGTGCGGAAAGGTGATATTTGGGTGAACCATCCAGAAGTTAAAACACCATGCACGACGTATTTATGATTTTCAATTTTTAAAAAAAAATTTTTTTTATATAAATTACAGAAAAATACAGTCCATTAATTTCTGAGAAATAATATAGCAATAATAGCATGTCTGCGATTAATAGTTTCAGAGATATGGTTCTATGTTTGTGTACTGCTGCTAGTCGAAAATGCTCCCTACAAATTCACGGCACGAAGTGACGTCACGTCATGTCTTGCTACGGAAGCGAAAATCGTACGAGCGTCTCAAAAATACAAAGATTACCCATCTTTGTATTATTTCTGTTATTTGTGCGTTTATGTTTACAATTGTTATAGTGAAAGTTGTCACGTTACATGTAACTAATTAAATGCTATATGTATTTTAGCGATTTTTTTTGTAATCTATTTTCCCTACTTTTTAAAATATTTAGTGCAATCAAAAAATTATATTTTGTTGAATACTGCAAAATTGAAATGGTTTCTATTGTCCGAACATAAAACAGAAACCTGTATTTTCAATTGCAGGACATAGCTCTATTATGACGCACATCTTAACATTCACAAATGTAACGCACAAAAAAAAAACAACAAAATAATATCTGTATTTCAATTGAAAAACAGAAAACTTCTTAATCTGGTTCGATTGATGTAGCGACCTGGCGCTTGCCACTTTGGATTCATGCCAAATCGCTAGTTTCCTTCTTATAAAAATTTCGTAAAAACTTGCTTTTAGTTTTAGACATTGGAATAAATATGCGTAATATCTTACATTACTATAAGACTACTTTCTGCTAAAATTATAATTATTTTATGGGAACAACATGTTCTATTAAGAAATATAATAGGCAAATATTTTTCATCTACTTGACAGACAAACAGACAGATGGACGACAAAGTGATCCTATAGGGGTACCGGTTTTTCCTTGTTTAACTATGGTATCCTGAAAAGTAAATTACGGAATCTAAGCTTAGAAAGATAAAATATACTTAGGAACATATGGGTTAAAGTGTATTGCAGTGCTGTTTAAAAAAAAAGGTGATGCTCAACATCAGACTAAATTTACGCTAAAATTGTAATTTTAGTATTAGTCCAAATTCATATTATATGTATAGAGAATAAGCAAACCTACTTTACTAAACCTACTTCTAGGAGTAAATATTACTCGCGTAGAATCTGACTAATACTTATTATTAATCAAATTCAAATTAAACAGAGACTCAGCAAAGGTTAAACTAGTACAAGGTTCTACGGGAGTACGCAGTCTCAGTGTAAATTTACTCTACCACTAAACCTTTTTTATTAATAACACTGTCGGAAAATAAGAAAAAAATAATACCAAATGAAATAAAAGGAATGAAACGTTCAGAGTTAGTTAACTTTGCATTTGAAATAGCTTCTAGATTAACTAATCAACTATTTGAACTAGTGAGGAGTAAAATCTCAAATATTGAACCCTTAACAATTCTTAAAAATAAGAGCTTTACCTTAAATACCACAGCCAGTTATTTTCATAAATATTTACGACAAAAACCTTTCAAGCGAGGTTTATTTTTTGCCTATCTAATTAAGTATATAAAAGTAAAAGGTTCACTCATTCACTCCTCATGAAATCTCAGAAACTACAAGTGCTAGAAATCAAATTTTGCATGCGGGTTCTTTCTGAGACGTAGGTCCTCACTAAGATGAATATTGACCCCTAAGGGGGTAAATTAGGGGATGAAAGTTGTTATGGAATTTTCTCATTCTCGAAGCCGCTGGCGGAAGGTTAGTTATTAATAAATTTGCAACTTCTAAAATATTCAATATTCATAAAATAATATGGCGCTCGGGAGAGCTTCGAAAATTCATAAAATACCTTAAAAACACCTAGACCCTGTCGTATATTTTTTCCCGACGATTAACTTCGAAAAGGGTATACTGAATGGGGTTTTATTTTAATATAACGTTTTCTAGTTCATTATTTATTACTATTATTACATCTTATTCTTAGAGAGGGGAAATGGTGTTCGAGTGTTTTATTACATTAGAAAAATGTGCTCCAGTTTTCGAGACAAAACTAGGTCAACTACATATGAAAAACTTGAGAGGTAGTTTAGTGTTAGAAATCTAATAGTTGATGTGTTTTGACGTAGTATAACACTTTTTGTGATTAATTTATTTAATCAACTTTATTGATCATTAAATTGGCGGAGCTAATGCTAAAGGAATTCTAAAAGAAATCTTTGGGAAACAGAAAAACATGATATGGCAAAAAATCAACTTTCAAATATACAACCTTAATGATTGACTCATATGATTCGTCATAAACCTTCTTTTTATATGATGATTTAGATGAATCCTCTTGATTTCATATCTGATCCATTTATTCATATCCACGATCGACAGTGTTATAGCATATTGCGTGTCAAAAACAATTTTTATTTAATTACAATCGTAAATCATTAACATTATTTAAAAAGTGTTTCATATAGCCCTCGTATACAGAGTAAATCTATTTTGTTTCTATAAATTTTCGCCTTTATGAGTATATAATTAAGACAACAATATTTAAAAAAAAAATGTGACGAACACTTAGAATAATAATGTTGTTTTCACATTTTAATTACAGCTTGTTTGGATTTAATCTTTTGGGACAAAACCAGTTCAGAAAGTTGTAATTTCTTAGTATACGTGCTTTCTTAAAGCAAGGTTAACAAAAGACGCAAGTGTCAAATTTGTTTACTGCTTTCGTTGTTACAAAGAATTAATTTTAGATTTTTTGAAGGCAATTTTACTTTTTTGTGAACTGTTAATGTTTATAGTCGCAGCAAAAAGGTTGTGCTGGCTTAGAATCGTATTCTGTTATAGTACATTCGAATTTGTTGCTCGAATGTACTATAAAAGGGTTCGTTCATAAAGCGTAATCATTGTTGTTAAACAACTTTCGCAACGTTAGGGATGGGTTACTAAAAAAATATTATCCCGAGCTACTCCGTGCTTCGGAAGGCACGTTAAGCAGTTGGTCCCGGCTGAATTTGCAGTCGATAATACCATCCAATGGACGGAGGGAGAGGAGTGAGTAAACTGAAAATTGAATTAAATAAAGGAATTTGCTCAATTTATTGTTGTTGTAATAATAATATTAAGTTCATCAAAGTCACTTAGTCTGCCTATTTAATATTCAATACCTATTGCAATTAGCAGTACTAATGAACTAAATTATGTTAGCTAAATAAACTCATAATGTCCTATTTAATATTCTGATGCAATCCAAACACATTACGATAGCAAATTACTTGAACAATAAAACGTTAATATCTTCACATGATGTTATGGTAATGTTGTTACATAGTTAAATATACTGATAGGTTTTGATTTAAAGATTATGACTCGGTTTAGGCCATTTTTAGTTATAAGGATGTGAACTATGACATATAACAACTATCAACGGCATTAGTAGTGCCATAATGTAACATTTGAAAAACCGGTACAAGGTAAAGTAATATATTTTCATATGCGTTAGAATGACTAGAAGTGACGAATGATCGGAAGGAGGCCAATGGCCGATCTCGAACCTTATGCCTTATATACAAACATGTGACGGGTTCGATGCTTAGGCAAATGAATAAGAGAAGGTAATAAGAAAAATCTGTTTTGGGTTTTCCATAATAGGTAGAACTTAGTAGATCTTTCACGAAGATATACGTTTACATTTGTCTTATTTTTATTTTTATTATTCACCTTTCGTAATTTGAAATTTGGAGTAATCCAATATGCTCTTTGTGAATGTTAGTTCGTAAAAAATTTATCTGTTTAAATTCAATTCAAAAGTTTTTATTTAAATTATAAAAACTTTATTATTATTATATTTATACGATTAGATTTAAATTATTAAATTATCATGTTCTCGCCAGATGAATTTTTATTTTCTGAATAATAAAAATAAGTGAGAACATCAAGGACAAAAAGTTTACATGCAGGAATACCTAGGATATAAATAAATACATATGGCCAGTATTATAAGTAAAGGGTCCTTAACAATGGCGATGATATTTTTTATATTTCTTTCCAAAAGTAATTTTACCATGACAAATATTGTTCGTTCATAACGTCCTTCATTTCGGTGTAGACGTTTCGCTTAACGTAATAAATTGACCAAACAAACAAACAGCCTTGATCAAGCTAACAATCACTCTGGTTTTAGCGACGATTATATTGGTAATAAATTCATATGATACATTTAATGTTTGTCACTTTAGAGGGTATATTTGTTTTATCACCAATCTATTGTGTTATCGTTTTGATACGAAACGCTTTATTGTCTTTCATATTGCTTTATGTGCCTTCTTTAAGGGCATTTTGTATTCCGAACCAGTTTCAGCTTTATATGTGTATGGGTCGTACAGATAATTGTCTTTAAAACTAATAAATAAATGAGAATTTAACGCTCTAAATAGAGTATATTAAGCTGCGTACTCATTAGTGAACTGTAACTGAATTGATAAAGTAAATACGCCATAGTATGTACCTTAGTGAATTGTAACTGAACCGACAAAGTTAATACGCTATTGTGTGTACCTGTAAAAAAGTTTCACTGGTACGTCCATTGTCTAAGCTATGCTTGCGACAGCTTCAAGAATTATTACAGTAGGAGGAAAGTGAACCCCGTGCAGAAACTAAAAATGAAATGTAATAAAATCATGCGGTCACAAGAAACTTCTGTTAAAATATGGCGGCTCCAGCATCTTGGATTTGTTAACATGCCAGGTAGGGCGGATGACCCAGTTTTGGCCATTTTAAGATTATGACCTGGTTTTAGTAATTTTTTAGAGGTACGAGGCTTACTTTGACATATCACAGGTGGTAACGGTGTTAGTTTTTCCATTATGCAATATTTTGGAAACCATCCACGTGAATATATTTGTCTATGTATGAATTAGACGCGTTATAGTAACAAATGAAAACAAAAATGGGGGCAGTAGTCAAATCTGCTTGACTGTTTGTACGTCAAGCAGATGACTCTCGTACACTAGTATGATTTTTGGTGTTGGTGTGAAGATATGGTAAAGTATTATTTCCTTCATAGTATATGCAAATTATCCCATTAAGCTAATTTCTTAGATTCTTAACAAGATAACCTTTGGTATTTTGAAAAGATAAGTGTTCGACGAAATTCTTATCGCCAGAATAGATCCCTTGTATGTGGGGATTAATGTTATGTCAAACTTGGTAAGATTTAATCGTTTTTTCAACTGTCTAGACGACAAAATCGAAACCTTATATAAAATACACAAATATTCTAAAAAATAAGTTTTATAAACAATTGCACTTTTAGATCCCAGATCCATAATCCAAGATCAAAAATACACTTAGAAGAAAGTAACCGAATATGGAATATCTTTTGTAAATTCCTTCTTAAATTATTCCCAATAGAAGAAAATTTGTAAATAACAATTTCTAAATCTGTTTTCGAATACGCTCGACTTAATAAAATTTCTATGTAGAATATAATTTCAGTGTTACTTTTTCAGTCTGGGCAATTTAAAAGCACTATAATTTCAGTTAAAGTTAAGGTTTATGTCAAATTTGATGATATCTGTCACGCATTCTTCAACATTGACCGTGGAATGCGACGCACCATTCTCTTTCTTTGCATAGTAGAACAATAATTTGGGCAAGCGAAGCTTGGGCAATTATAGTTTACAGTTAAAGTTACCAACCATTGCCAAATGATAACACATTATTATTTGCTTAACCCTTAGGATACTTACTACACTTATTCAGTTACTTTCCTTCACCATTATTACCAACCATATATTTGAAGTCTTCAATTAACTAAATATGTCACTTGCAAAGAAATTCCAATCTATATGATCACAAGCAAATGTTTCAAATTCCAATAATAAAATGTAGATTTTATTATTTTCACTTGGGGTGTAATAATCACAAGCTAAGTCTGGATTATCCTCAGTTCGATTGCAATAAATCGTGAAACACATAAAATTTGGGATGATCGAAAAAGATTCCAATTCGCTAGACACTCAAAGGGGCCTCTTTGAAACGAGCTTAAAAATGGATAACGTCTTTCGAAATCCCTCCAGAATTTTCCTTGAAGTGATCGAAAATGTAAGCTTTGGTTTCTAATGTCAGCTGATCTTAAATAAACTTACTATCTAAACAAGAGATCAAGTTTATTTATTATTGATTGATTTTCAATTATTATTTGTACTTTACAGTGTTATAAAATCAATAGATTATAATCATGAATTGATTCGGCAAAGATTTAACAACGTCAACCTATTTAAAAATTGTTATTTCAATTGGCGTTCCTTAAAATGTCTCAATACTACTGTTGAAAATAAGTGAGATACTTCAAGTGTAATAAATTACTTAACAGATACAGCACTTTACAGGTTTTAAAGCTTTCAATTTACGGTTGAAATTCTCAATGAAAAATTATGCTTAATTGTTATTATAATATGTAGATTTGAAATACGTTTATTTTATTGTTGGAAAATAAATTATATTGTTGTACAGGCAATGTGGTGGATTTGATAATGTGCCAATGCAAGGAGTAAGAAGAATTGGAGCCAGAAGTTCGCCCGATTTGTCCCCTAGCACCTCGGTTTCAAGACAGCTGACTTGGAGAGTTACAAGTGCTACTAGGTTAGTTAAAATCTGATGACATCCAACCAAAGTTTTCCACAGATGTATAAAGGGATAGAGCGTAGCAATGAGTAAAACGAAGTGCTTTAAGAGCTTGAATCAATTTTAACAACACAAAAGATTACATTTATTAATTTTTGTATGAAACTTCTTTGCTTTATCGCTGAAATAAGAGTGGTTTAATTGATATTTGAGTAGTATGTAAGACCCTGGAGGGTAACAGGCGGAGAGGGCGTGATATTTTATCTCGAAAACCAACACTTAAAGAGGTGAAAATGGGATGGGAAGTTTTTATGGAGGATCAAAATGTTACCATAGCAACCATTGTTTATACTATTTGATTTGGCGTTGTAATAAATTTTTATAATATTATTTATAAAGATTTCCTTATATAGTGATAATAATTGGTACTTCAGTACATACAATATAACAAAAATAACATTGTTTTTTTTTTAATATTCATGCACAAATCATTTTATATACGAAAGAAAATACATTTTATATTTTTTGAGCTATACTAGATGGCGTTAAATATATTTCTACATCGAACTGTTTTTATATTATTTTGGATATATTGCTATTAATAATTGTGTTTCGTTTCGATATCCTTGACAGTTAACTTGTTCAGTACATATTAACCAGGTATTTTATTTAAACAAATATTTATTCTAGCGTTTTTACAAATGCTGCCCAAAGTAACTATGGTACGCGGACGTAGTCGCAGGCAAAAGTTAGTATTGAATAAAGTCCATCGTTCAATTAATAATAAAAATTACAAATTATAATTGAATTGAATAGAACCGGAAGATGGGCCATGACCCCCCATGTGGGTCCAAGGGTGCGACCGCCTAACTATCTAGTCATGATTCTAGCCATAGGATACGACATCTTAGCGATGTTATGGCGTTGTATCGTTTAATTTACAGCTTTGTCATGTACTAATATTTTTCCCTCTTAATAATAAAAGTATTTTGTTTATACCTTTTACTTAAAAGATCTTATTTATTTTGAAATTTACGCACTCTTAGTCTACACATCCATTTTTCATAACTGCTATTCATTCTTCTTCATCCAAAGGTTGTTTGGTAGAAATCGCTGTTAGCGATAAGACCGCCAATTGCTACACTATCTTTGAAAATTTTACAATAAAGTATCATTCAATAGCAATGAAATAATACACGAAATGATTAACCATCATTTCAAAATCCTGTCATTCTTCGAATGTTCTTTTAGAGTTTTAAGAAATAATAACACATATAATTAATTATCACACGAATGTGACTGATTACTTCATTTCATTTAGGGCGCAGCGTAACAAGATCGGCGTGAGCGTGTCCCATCCCCAGCTGAGTTATATGAATGGTTGTGGAGCAGGTGGGCCGAATCAGAGGAGAGGGCGTGATGTCGCCACGCAGACACCGCCTAGCATCGCAGCTGAGACTAGGAGAGCTAGGCTTATGCCTATCAAAATAAATTTGGCTACGTCGAATGCACTGACGTTGCGGTAAGTTTTTTTACATTATGATATTCGTCAATTTACAAGTACATTAAATTTAGATCAAGCGTAAATGCTGATGTTGAATTTATATTTATTATTTCTTTTGTGGTATCGTTCTGCTGGATAACCTAGTCAAATTAGCATTGCAACTCGGAATGAGAGATAATAAGCTCGTGATCAGTTTTAATTTATTTTCAAAGGTCAATCAACAGGTGTCTTATAATAAATATGAATAATACTATGTAACAGAGAAACAATTATAGACTCACACATATAGATACAAACTATAATAAAGATACAAACCAATATTACAATTATGTAAATCAAACACAAAAATATTAAGTATATTAAAAGAAAAACGTACTAAAAATCTCTTATCTCTTCGGTCATGTGAGCAGTATAACAATGATTTGTCTTGCTGAGTTACAACTTGAACAAAATAGATCTAATTTGACTTTACTAGATGTCGTTAAGTATAATTAGCTTAAAAAATGAAGATTATTTCCTGGTACATTAAGTTCAATAATGAATCGGGACAATCAATAGTGTTCAACGTTATTTCTATTAAAAATATAATGTCAGCTGCCATTAGCCGATTTTCCAGTGTCAAAAAAAATATGAATTATTACATAATTAAATATAATCATATAATTACTACATTAAAGAATATGAATCATTAAATGTAAAACAACTTTTTTATGCGAACAAACTTTTCGGTGATCTATGAATCAACCTGAACTGAACTGAATCTATTCGAACTAAATGTTAATTAGCTTTTGAAGTGGATTTATTTGAAGAACCTCTAATACTGTTTGACACTGTACTTTAGACAGAATAAGACTGCAGATCCAGTTTATTATACTATTGACTTTGTTAAGAATCTAAATATATATAACTCAAAGGTGACTGACTGACTGGACGGATCGGGCTGAAATTTGGCATGCAGGTAGATGTTATGATCAATTCTACCCCCAAGTGAATAAAATAGGGGATGAAAGTTTGTATGAAACTTTGTCAATTTTAAACCTATCGGGCTGAGACTTTGCATGCATAAAGCTACTATGACGTAGGCCCCCCGCATGCATAAAGCTACTATGACGTAAGCCCGCAACTTCGTCCGCGTGGTAAAGTTACTTTGAGACATACACATACATTCGTTACAAAATGCTGCTCAAAGTAACTTTACCACGCGGACGAAGTTGCGGGCAAAAGCTAGTTTTTCAATAAAGCGCTACAAATATTGAAGCTCTAATTACATTTTAAAGTCTCGTTAAATATACGTAAAGTCGTTAATTATTTAGAGCCTTATCAAAATATAACATTGCTTATGATATTACCCATATAACCCTTAAATGTTTCATTGTGTTTTTAACTGTCGCATATACAATGTGAATACACTATAATAGTTATAGTGACTCGAAATGCTGCTCTGCATACATTATTAAATTTTTCTTTGCTTCAAAATTCTGCATTTTAAAGTGCATTGCAAAATTAAAACGAGTTTACATTTGCTATAAATCAGCACTTTTAAGCAAACAGATTTTAGCGCACAAAAATTTTTTTACAATTGATATTTAGTGTAAATTGGCATGTCAAAAAGCAAATGTAAACCCGCCTTTAGTGTAACTACGACAAATTACCATCAACTTTACTTACATATAATTAAGAAAAGAGAGGCTTAAAATGTTGTAATTTTACACTGATTCTTATTTTACACTGAACCATTTACATAAATGAATTATATTTTTTCCCATTGATCACAAAACTAACTTTATAAGTAATATAATACTTAAATTATTAAGTTTTTCAAATATCTTGTAACAGTACAGCCATTAGCACTATGAATATTTCTAAAAACTCCTTGATTTACTAAAATGACACTTAGAAAATTTTAGTTTTCATAGCACCTTCGGATGTAGTTCTTATAAGGAGTTTAATTATATAGTTATATATAAATTGTGATTTGTTTATTAAATTTAAAAAAATATATATCATGCAACACTTCGTTTAGAAGCGACTGGAGGCTTAGTTATAATAGCGATAGAATAAATACCAGACAAAAGTTGACTTTGGTAAGATTTGAGGTGATTGAGAACTCTTTATTGCTCATACACTAATGAAAGGTTATAGGAAAAAAGTGAAAGTGAATAATAAATTTATTGACTGATAACATTGATTATACCATGTAAAGTTAATGATATTTCATATGTAATGACATTTCATTAAAATATATCAACGAAAATCTACAGCAGGCCTGGGCAAACGAATCCATCCGCGGTAGAATTTTGTCTGGCCCTTGAAGCATAGTATATATTATTATTAAAAATCACAAATATTAGTTTATGTCTAACATAAATGATGCTTAAAGAATTTTAGATGAAATTTTAAGCAATACATTATCAGGGCCGGTGGGAGCTAAAATTTTCTCCCGGATAACCGCTCTTTCCAACGCTTCTTAATCGAAAATGTAATTATGATAATTGAACAATTACAGTAAGCATAATAGTCGCACAATTTTATTAGTTATTGATATATATACTTGATAAATAATATTTTGATTCAAAAATTTTGATTTTAAAATTCATTAATTTTTAAAATTAATTCTGACGATGTCACCTCAGCAAAAATTATACTTGTAATTAAAAAAAAAACTGGGCTGAGGTCAAATTTTCATCTGCAATGTGGCCCGGCTATAAAAATATTTGCCCACCCCTGATCTACAGCAATGGCGTCAATTAATGATTAACTCTACGAGGAGATGCGCTTTGACATAGCAGATATGAAATATTACAGCTGATAAAAGTTGCTGGAAAGAGGAACCACTATTGTATCAGGGTAAGAGGAAGTTCTGGTTTATTAATATTAGAGAAAAGACCAGCATTAGCAACGCCGCAAAGCGCAATAGAACACAAACACAGCACAAAATATAAGCTGATTGAAAACCTCCAAAGAATTAGTTTAAAATGTGCGTGATTATTGCGTGGATTGTGCAATTAATGACTGGTAGTGTTTACCTTTTAATTAAAATAAAGGTATTTAAATTTTAGATAAGTCGATTAAATTAGATAGGCATTGCTCCGTCTTAACATGAATGAATTTAGTATTTGTATTCTCACGGAGGAATATCTTACCGTTTTTGGTCCAGCAGAATTGATATCCGCACTTTTTGGAAAATTGACGAGCTTGAAAGAAAAGTTTACTGCCTGAAATAGATAGGTGTTCTACAACGTAAATCGGACGTTTTTCACCGATCATTCCAATGTGCTCACAGTTCAGTTTATCTGCTATAGCACGATTTTTATTAAATCGCCGTGTTGAAGAAAGAATCATATGTTTCATTTGAACAGTCATGAATTCGACTACTATAGTTTTTGTTTTCTCAGGGTTTCCACGTCTGTATATATCACGGATATCGTGGTAGTTAATCCTTATGTCTAAAGTCATACCCAGTTTCTGGATAAAGTTTATTAGGTCTGACACTGTTTCGTATCTTGATTCAGGTACATTCCTCACTTCAATAAATGAGGCTCGTGAAAGCGGCTGGCATTCTTTAACTTGTTCTTCTAATTCTGTAAATTTTTGCTTATAGAAGTTTCTTTCTGTTTCCAACTGTTTTTTCATCTCTGCTAATTGAGCATATAAGAATGTTATTGAATTATCCATTTGTGTATTAGATCTCTGAAATTCAGTGCACTGTGATTTAAGCGAAGTTATATCTGTTAAAATATTAGACAGAGGGTATAGTTTTGATAGTTCCTTTTCGATTTTCCAGGAACTTAGCATCGTCGTGATCAATAGTTCTTTTTTTAAATCTTGCAATGTTACTTGACTAATACCGTTGATCTGTGGAGATACTTCTTCGCGGAGACATTTTGAATTGACGGTCTCGTTGCGACTTTCTTCTGGCATGCTTAGTGATGAGTCTGAGTCTGATTGAGGTTGTGCTGCTAGTTCAGATAGAGATGAATTCGAATTAAGTATCGATGTTGGTGATGTTGCGACAGATTTTGACATTCTGATATTATTTAGTATTTGTGATTTTATGTGGATGAATGATTGCAAATATCTAGAAAGGTAGTCAGCGTAGATGCGATGTATTAAATTCCCTAGCGGCACTGATGTTACTTCAAAAAACTCGATAATGCTCACGTCCTGCATCTGCAGGAAATAAGAATACAATGAGAATTTTAGATTTCTTACTATGCTACGATTCAGTAATAATATTTTATTAATGGAAATATTTTGCACTCACAAAGTATTAAAAATAAAGGTATTGTTAGACTTGAAAATCCAACACGGCAAAAAACGACCTCTCCAAGCCAAAGTAGATGGAGGAATCATTTAATATACCGAAAAACACACACGATAAGTTATTAAAACTAAAGTAATTTATTACATTTTATTATCATTTGGATTTTTATTAGGGCAATATGAGTTTGTCGGCAGTATTATGACTTTTTTATATTGTTAATATTTTGTCTGTTATAGGAAGAATTTAATAAAAAGTTTAAAAGTTTTTATTATGAACTTATTGTTATAATAATGCTCTCTTTGACTTACAGATATTATATTATTTTTGTGTCTATTTCGAACCCTTAGCGATAAATTTTAAGAAATACGAATTTTCATACCAATCCTTTACTACTCGTATCTTCACGCCTGATACTTTTGGGTCCCCCACAGAGAAAACTGGTCGTGTAGAGCTATGGTCTTTACACATAGCTTACGCTTCGTTCATAACTCCTTTTGTATACCTTTGTCGGTTTAATATTTTCTGATATGACCATGAGAACTGTGATCAATTTGACTGTGAAAAATGGTTCTTGATCTTCCTTTACTTTTTTTTATTTCTTTCATATTAACAAACTACAAAGGTAGTTAGCAAATTTAATAAATCTCATTTGAATTCGAGTAAAGCAAAAATGTACAGTACATTTTAACCCTATTTTTGCAATTTTTCCACGTTTAATTATAATTTCATATGGTAGAAAACATTTTTCAAAATA